CCCCCCCCCCTTCCCCGAGGATCAGAGTGACGACGACTACGAGAGCCCCGATGGGGACGACGACGTGGACGGGGGGGATTACGAGTCCCCAGATGACGGCGATCACGGTAGGGGGGGGGGCGATAGCGACAACGACTATGAGCCACCCCCCTCCGACCGGCCTGAAGATGCTCCCCTGCAGATCTGCCCCGCAAAGCCCATCGGGGACAGTGACTACATAGGTGACGTCAGAGTGACGTTCCCCACGTCAGCCAGCTGGCCTTCCACTGACATTTACACACAGCTGGTCCATTTTCCCACATTTATCATTCGGAGGTGCCGGGATCTTGAAAACACAACCCAGATTCGGTTTCAACCACTGGAGTATAAGGCTGAAAGTTTAAAGATTATTAAAGTTACAGACTCCAGTCTTTGTGATGGAATGAGATTATGTTAGAGTAACGATGGGTTTGCATGCAGGAGATCGGGAGAGGAACTCTGTAGGTGGCATTTCCCTGCAGTCTCTGTGGTTTCAGCTCAGACCACACAGCTTGCAGGTCTCAGTCACACCTCTGTGACCTGCAGCTTTTCAGCGGCGTTAGAAGCAGCAACTTAACTGCGCGCGTGTGTGTGCATGCTTATGCGTGTATGTGGATTTCTTGGCAGATAACAACCGGAATCGGCACACACCAGCGAAGCCATTGCAGAGCCAGCCCCCGGCCCCCCCAGAGCGCCCCGGCGCCAGCCTGCCCCCACCTTCCACCTCCCGCGTACGTGGCCATGCGATCGCCCTTTCCTTTTTCCACTGCGGTTTTTCGGCTGTCCTCTTTTCCTGCCCGTGTCACTTCCTGTCTGCATCCTGGGGTCAAAGGTCAGCGTTTATTTTGCACTTTTTTTTTTCCATGCCAGGTGCCCCCCCACCTTCCCAAGTGCGAGCCGTCCTCACAGAGACCAGTCAAGCCTCCTGCTAAATGTAAGAACACGCATTTCTATTTTAAAATGTGCGTCAAGCATCACGGAGGTGGCACAGCGATTAGTACTATTGCCTCACACCTCTGGGACCTGGGTTTGAGTATTTGCCCCGCCTCTACATGTGTGGAGTTTGCATGTTTGCCCTGTATCATCATGACATTTCACACCCCCCCCCCACCTCAGGGACCAGGGTTTGAGTCTCTACTGTGGGATTTTGCATGTTCTCCGTGTTCCCCCCCCCCCCCCCACCCAGTCCAAAAACTAGCATTCTCTCAGTGACTTGGAGTTTCTACATCGAATGGATAAATGTCTTTATAGTCATTGCAAGGTACAAAGAAACTGGAAAATTCTTGTCACTACAAGATACTAAAAAAAAATCAGGAAAAAAAATTATAGCATAAACAAAACAGAATATAAATAAGCAAATAGAATATAAAGTGAGTGTAAAGAATAAAAATGTAAAAAATGACAAAGTAGGTGTTTAAATAGAATAAGTGTTATGTTGCAGGAAATACAATAAACATAAAACTGAATCACATTTGCCAGTATGTGTGAATGGTGTGTGTCCCTTGTCATGGGTTGGCGCCCCATCCTGGGTTATCCCCCCCCCCTGCGTCTGTAGCTTCTGGGATAGGCTCTGGACCCCGTGTCCCTGCATAGATCCAGCGGGTGCGACAGATGGATGGACGGCCTTGTGTACGCCTTATTTCACGCGTGACCTCACCCCCGCTTTCCGTCCCCAAGCTCCTGGCCTGCCCGCCCCCCACGTGGACCGCAGAACGAAGCCTGGTTCTTCAGACCGAGGTCTGCCCAGTCTTCCAGGTTTCCCAGACAGGGAAGAACACTTTCCAGGTAAGCATGTGCCCACAGTCACCTTTCAGTCTCATAAAATCGGTCAAACAGTTTACTTCCAGGGGGAAGTGTTATTATTATTATTATTAATAATAATAATAATAATAATAATAAATTTAATTTATGAAGCACTATTCATTAGAACAAAATCTCAAAGTGCTGACGAAGTTAAAATAATGTAATAATTATTATCAACTATCATTTTGCATATTTTGTGGCTTAAATTCAGTTCAGTCAAACAGAAAGCTGATTTCTTCTTCTTTGCATTATTAGTATGATCATGTTACTCTCATTGTCAGTCATGGTCGTCACTACAGACGATTTGTTACTAACCTTGAACATACAGGTACTTCTGCTGACCCCAACTCAGCTATGACCTTCGCTGTAAATCCGATTTCTCTTAAAATCTCTGCGATTTCAAAAACGAGGCTAATAACTTTACTACATTATTGCTACAAGCCACACAAAGAGTAGAGTTTTGATCTTTTTGTAAGACGGAAAAGAGAACGGCATTTAAAATCGAACGGCGAGCTGCCTTTGGCTGAAGCGAAATGATTCCTCAGCCTTGTATTCTGACCTTTCCTCACCCAGCGACAGTCCGCCAGGCCTAATGCACGGAATGCTCTATAGATGCTGCTACACGTTTGTGCGTCTCCAGCAGGTTTAAACGAGTGTTCTTCGGCTAATAAACATGAGCCATATGCGTCTAAAGTTCAAAAAAGCATCAAAGGCATTTGATCAAGTTACCCAATCTGAATACATTTCTGAACAACTGTACATATATACAATCCTTTTCAGGTGCCAAAACAGGCTAATCGAGCAGAAACTAGACGTTTGCTACGATCAATTACTTTTTTCTTCAGTAAACACAGAACGCTAATTATTCAGTCTAAATTTTTTACATTGTGTTGGGCAATCTTAATTCCCAGTGACTTTAATGAAGGTCTTTTAAAACAGTACTAAAATGGCTTTCAGACTTGTCGTGCCCTGATATTCAGTTCTTGCCCACGTCGTTGATAAAATCGGCAACATTAATTCGTGACGCGCAAATATTTAGAAGCTTTGTGGGCAGTAAGACATTTCCCGTCTTTGTCTCCGTAGGAAGAAAGCCTCCTATGCCTGACACGGTAAGAGTTCTTCTTAATTTATCTGATCAGTATCTAACCTTCTTTTCCACTCAGCTTGGTTTCTTATATGCATTAATGTCCATATATCTTCTAATCGTTCACGCTGGTCAGGTTCACAGGTACATTATGAATAAAACAGTAAGTTGTTGCCGTATGTAGACATATGTAACAATTAATGTGCATCATGAATATTTCTTTTGTGCTGCAATGGAAATAAAACTTTCCGCATTCTTTTCTGAAACATTTTCATGTTACCTGTGTTGTCGTTTTATTGCTCAGTACATTGGCCTCATGCCTCAAAACTATAATTAGCTTATTGGATACGTATCTTAAATCATCATCAGAACTCTGTACAGGATAAACCATGTGGAAGATGGATGGATTGGATTGAAATTGACAGACAAAGCAGTTTGCAATTAAAGTAAATAAAAGCAAGTAACTTGTTTTTCATGTTACACGGAGTGGGTCTTGTGCAGCGATGCTATATAGGGTACCACCTGTCCAGAACTTTCTGGGATTTCTTTGGCACTTGATCTTCTGCCAGGGAAAAAAAAGTCAAACAATTTGTGGGTGTTTCATGTTATAGAATCTTTGGTTTACTGTAAAGCCCTTTGTAATGTGATAATTTACTATTATCATTATTATTATTAGTAGTAGTAGTATTTGTTGTTGTTGTACTAGCGATATTGTTTATTAAGTGTAAAGTGCTTTATTAACCAAACCAAATAACGGGTTTGTCTGTTTCGGTTCTGCACAACTGACCCGGAAAAGGTGTGTTCTGATTATTGTAGGTGGCCCTATTTTAGGCATCGTGACTTGAAAGATAAGGCGACAAACGAACTGAAATCAGAGCGAAAACGGGCAGTGAAAGAGCGGAGGAGGAAAGCGAACAGATGCAGAATCCGGCCAGAAGCTCAAACACGAAATCTTATATAACAAAAAAAAATTAAAAATGGCAGAACGATGTGACGGATGGCTGAGTCTGGTTCTGAATGATCAGATTCTCGTATAAGTGACGAGCACGGATGCATGAAAAAATATTTTAGCAAGAGAAAACAAGCAGCATACTTATTGAAGACCGTCGTATACATTTTCATATACGATTATGACAAGATCACACTAATTTATTTAAAGGCTACTTAATATAAATTATTTCCTGTTGCAATGGCTGAATGTACGAATTATAAGAGGGTTAGCTGTGAAAGGCTCAATTTATTTATCCTTCAGGAAGTGGGCATTTTCAACAACGTTGTGCGCATTCTGCTGCAAAGATCTCTCTCACTTCGGCATGCATTGATGTCAGGTGGACGAAACGAGGTCGTGAATGTGCGAATCGGTGGGGAAATTAATTTTTTATTACCGTCGTATTTGCGGATTATCGCTAACCGAGGTAGTTACTAAAGGAGCAGGGGTTGTAATAGATTAGATTAAAACAAAAGTGTTTCAGTGGATGTTATGGAACAAAATCCTTGTCAAACGTGGCCTGGGTCGTCATAAATATCTGTTTCATTATTTATATGGATTTATAATCCATGAGAAACATTTGTGAGAAACATTGCTGTTAATGCATCTGACCTCTTTTGCCCCTTACAGTTCGCCGCTCAGCCGAGAAGGTACGGAGCCTCGATCGCCGGCGTGCAGCGCCTCGCACCATCACTTATCGTAACTCTTAAGCTTTGCCAGGTCATAACAGAAGCTCGATCTAACTGTAGGACTAACATCTGCGCGCAACTTTTGCGCTTGATGCCAGGCCAGACATGCTTACACGCCAAGCTGCGCGACAGTGACCCCCTCCCCCCCCCGATCTGTGCCGGGTGTTGTCACGTTTTCATCCACAGAAGCGTCGTCGCTGACAAGCCGCCAGACTTGCCTCGACTCACTAAACCACCACTGCCAGGGCCTGGGGTCAACAGATCAAGCTCTTCTGTCGGCAGACAGCCGGCAACTCTGCCCCCTGCTGTAAGTTATTAAGCTTCACATTTTTATATTCAGCTGTGGGGTTCGGTGTATGGCTTTGAGGGTTACTACTCGGGCTAGGTGCTAACGGTCGGAAGGTCACAGGTTCAAATCCCACAGTTAATGTGATTTTACCTTAAGGAAGCATTTTAACTCCAATTGTTCCTGGGACTGTCTGCCCCAGTTGTACATTCCTCCAGATAAAAGCTGCAGTTAAACAAATAAAATGCAAAAAAAAACAGAATGTGAAAAAGTGTGTGTAATGTTGCTGTCCTGCCATAGTTAAGATCTCTCCTTTTCATTCCCCCCCCCCCCCCCCCCCCCCCCCCAAGCCCCAAGACCAAGGAAAACTCCCGATCTTTAACGTCTGCCCCCCCCCCCAAAGAAAAACCTTCCTATTTTATCTCAAAGCTCATCGCCTTTGGCCGAATGGAAGATAATGATTGGCGTGGTGTCTGCCTCCCATTTCCCCTGCAGGACATATGCCAAAACCGGGAGGGGGGCCCCCTTATAACTCCAACACGTTCCCCTTACCCACGCGTGGCCCCTCGCCCCGGCCGGGGCCCTCGCATTCTGAAAGGTAAGGACCCGCATGCGGACATGCGCGCGGACATGCATGCGGACATGCGCGCGGACATGCACCCCTGACTTGCTCTCTTCTGACTACTTCTGTCCTGCCTCTGCAGTTTGCCCCCCCCTATGCACCCAGGTGGGTCCCTTCCCTCTCGACTGCAAATGGGTGAGCACTCTGCAGACACTTCCTCCCTGTGTGTAGCCCGAGCTCTGAATGTTGCTGCTGAGTAATTCGGTTTTTTTTCTGTATCATTTTTTTTTGCAATGCAAGCCATGGGTTCCCAGAGGCCGAAACCCGATCGCCTGCCGATTCCCCAGCCGCAGGTTTCCGATTTTGGCCCAGATGACGAGCAGGTCCGCACATCCACTTTCCTCTCTTTCCGCTCGTGGTTTTCTTGGATATTTTCTATGCGCTTACACATTGGCTTTGGCTCACCATTAAGTAAGCAACAACAAAGGCACATATCAAAGAACAGTGTTGGAGAGGATAAACTACAACCACTTTTCGATTAACGATTACCTCAGTTGGCCAACATCTGCAAATTCAATGGAAATTAAAAATGTTTGTCTGACCAATGAGCGCATTTATGACCGTGTTATGTACGCCTGACAACAATGTACCGCGGAGTGAGCGAGATCTTAACATACAAAACGTTTTAAAAGTCCCCCTTGTGAAGGATGAAAGAAATCGAGCATGTTAGGCTGACGTAAAGTCGCAAGCACGGCCGCGGTCACGCCCAGACTGCCGTGCGTTTCGCTTAACGCCTTGATTGTTGGAACGCAACTCGGACGTTGAATGAGAAATGGCTGTATACATAAATAATAAATAACACAAGACCAGGATCTGTAGTAATGAATAAGGTGTCGGCGTGTGGATATATAAAGTTGCGAGTGTATAAACAAACTCCGCAGTTCGAGGCAGCAGCATTTACAGGGAGTCACTGCTTACCCGTGAGAGACGTGCCTCTCCTGTCCCCGCAGGACCTGGACCCCCGGTGGTACGTGGCCCATGTGACCAGAGCGCAGGCTGAGGGCCTCTTGAGGAGGATAAACCGGGTGAGTTCCCGTCTCGCGCTGCTTCAAAGCGCTATTGGCAGGGAATAATCCTTAGCTATGCATTTAAATTAATTAGTAGTGGGGGCATTTCCCAACATTTTTTCTGCCAATGCACAGTTCATAAGGTTATAATATCAGGGTACACCACTGGTAAACATATACTACTAATTGGCTCTATCCAATAACACCAATCACATTGCTCTTATCCTTTTGGTTCAGGGTAGAGTATGTTTTCTGAAATGTTTTTTTTCACTACAGAACACAGTTTGCAAATTGTCGAACATATGTACACCCTTGGGTGTCTGTTGTCAGGCGGTCTTGTTCTTGGCTGGATTACGTGACAAATGCGGTTAAAACCTGTTCGACAATTAAATGAATAAAATGTTGCTTATACACTAACCTTTTTCTTCATCTAAGCCATTTAAAGTACATTCATAATTTAAGTATTAATACATAAGCTTATTTTATTTACTTTTTATATACCTGGTCAGGTGTGTGTGTGTGTGTGTGCATTTGTGCGTCTGTGTGAGGATTAGGTTTATATTACATTGTGGGGACCAAATATCCCACACAATGTGATAAAAACCTGTTATTTTGACATTGTGGGGACCATTTCTCAGGTTCCCACAAAGATCTGTGGATGCAATCAAAAAAGTAAAAATGCCTAAAGGTTTATTTTGTTTAGTTACTTATGGTTAAAGTCAGGGCTGGGTTGGGGTTAAGGTCATCATGTTGGGATTAGAGTTTTCCCCATAGGAATGAATGGAGAGTCCCCACAAAGATATAATTACAAACCTGTGTGTGTGTGTGCGTGTGTGTGTGTGTGGTTCAAACACTGCTCCAAGCAAGGTCCTAAACCCCAATTCTCTCTAACAAAACACATGTTGTTTTGAATAAAAGTGTCTGCTAAGATAATGTGAGGTTCAATTTTATCGTCAACCGCTGTGTATGATGTTTGAGTCCCAGTTGTAAGTCGGCAGATAACGGTGTGGTCTTGTCAGTCATCGTGCGTGACGTCTGTTCTTCAGGACGGCACGTTTCTCGTACGGGACAGCTCAAAAAGATCATCCACCCAGCCGTACACCCTCATGGTGCTTTACCAGGACAAAGTCTACAACATCCAGATCCGGTACAACAGTGAGAAGGATGTCTTCCTGCTCGGTACCGGGCTGAAGAACCGCGAGGTAAGCAGGGGGGTGGCTAATCGGCAGAATTACTGTTTTTTTTTATCGTTGGCACACCCCCCCCGGCAAAATTAACTACCGCAGCCCCTAAAAGGTGTGACGTTCCTGGCCTGAAACCCAATCACACTGCAGCGCTGGATAAAGATGACTTGCTTATAAAACCTGTATCTGCAATGCTCAAAATGGACACAAGGGGGAGTGTTACGTTCATGTCACCTAGCCATAAAGCCAAAACCCTACTGTAATTTTTACCTTTAACTATTAAATCAGTAGTTTGGCTTTCTAAATGTTTCATTTACATTGCCCTAGCTCTGGATATGATTATTGGCTAAAAACGAAAACTATTAATGAATTTCTCCTGCAGAACTTCCCCAGGGTGAGAGACATAATTGAATTCCACATGAAAATACCGCTTCTACTCATCGACGCGAAGGACACTGGTTCGGGACCGCAAAAGCAGTGTCTATTAGCGCAGCCGGTACAGTACTGACGACCTCCAGAAAGAACCCAGAAAGGATTACCAAAAACGGGAGCCGACGAGAAGGGAATTCTGGGATGCAGAAACAGTACCGAGTCGCGGTGAAGAGAGCGATCTGAAAATCATGGAAAAAACTGCTGTCCGCCTAACACCTAAATGACTCTGTTGTCATTGTGTTTTACGAATTGTTTTAGTTCCTCTTAATTTCATTTCATATTTAATTTGATTTCAGCTACAGGTAACTAGCATATTTTAGATAACCTTCAGATCTAAGTTATGTGCAAAATATTATATCAGTTTTTTTTTCTAGCCTGCGTTTTGCATTTTAACAATTAAAAGCTCAGGAAGAAATGGATAACATAAAGGGTTATTTCGACGAGAAGGCAGGTCTCGGCTCGGCATTTCGAACAAAAGTGTGTGCTTCGCAATGAGAAGTTTTCATCATCATTTCATTAAAAGTTTCAGGGCTGATTACACGGCAAATGTTGAAAAAGATGAACGCAAACTAATCTGAACAACTGTGAGCTGCGCACTCGGAGTGGCTGCAGAAGCACGCGGTGCCGCGCCTCCCCGCTCGAGGCAACGTGTCCATCTCCGCTCATGTGATCACTCATCATTCTCCTGGCATTTTACTTTTCTAAGTAAAACTATAGCCACGTATGTTTTACCCAGAGCTGCTAAGTTCACCAGCAGTGCGGGTTTACCCCGCTCCAAGTGTAACGGTGTGTTTTGATCCTCATACATGCGTGTTGCTGCACGTCTCCCCCATTTGGCTGCCAGTTCCACACATTTCCACTAATCGCAGGTTTTTGAAAGCATCTTTGTTTCAAAGTAACATTCAGTGTGTGACACGTTGTACTGTAACTGTAGGGTAAAGTATCTCTTTAGATGGTCAGTCTTTCAGCTGCATTTCAAGGTGTGAAACTGTATAGCACATTAAAAAATTAAAATACAAAAAAATATATATATATTATGCCACAAAATAGATCATGTTAATGACTCAGCCTCTCCGTACATTTCTCTGATGACCAAATCCTGTTATTCCTATGAAAAGTAAGTTTACTTTAATAGATATTTAGACATTTGTTCAGCTTGTTATTCTTAGTTTGTTGTAAATATTATCAGTGTTATGAAGTGGCGAGTCAGTTCGAGGTACCTAAGCAGACCGAACTGCAAACTGGAAATAAATTATAAACTGGAAAGAAATGTACCTGAATATCAATATACTTTTTGAATATCATCTTAAGTAACATTTTTAAATGTCCCCCAGTTTATTTAAACTATAACTGTAAATAATGAATTCTGTAATATATTTGTGCCTTCTTACAATGCTTTTTTTGAAAAGCTAAAGTACAGTAGTCTTACAGTAAAAACAACAATAAAAATATGCTCAATAAAAACGATTTTAAATGATAAAAATGGAATATAAGGGACACAATGAATCAATATGAATAACTGTGAATGATTTGATACATTTTAATGTTTGAAATGGCTGTTTATTATATATATATATATATATATATATAATATATTTTCGAAACATCAATATATTTCTCTTTAATATATAATCTAAATTTTCTGTAAATAAAGCATATAGTAAAATGACAAAAGTGATGTATTCGAAAATATATAATATTAATGGAGATTATGTCGTTCAATACTTAATTGTTTATTTAACTTGCATGAGTATGAGAGAGATCCATTAAAAGATGTAGGCTCACAACGGTCGTGGACGATTGAGCAGAAACACATAACAAACCTCCTAGGAGACTTTCCTCACACCCAGACAGATTCCTTTAAGCCTAGTAAATATAGAATGGGGAAATCCATTGACATATGCAGGGAACCATATCGACCAATCAGAAGAGAAGGGGGAGTTTTCATGTTTCTATAAATTAAGCAGGTGAGACAGGTGGCCGCTGTGATGTCCCTGACAATCCTGCATGGGTACGTATAGGCCTGACAGGGAAAAGGGAGACCATCCACGCCTTTAGGAACCTGAAAAGGTGAGGTACACGTTCTTCAAGAGCCTCCAGGGGAAGGAAACGCAGGAGGAAACCAGCCGAGACTGAAGAACGCACCGGAAGGATTTCACGGAACGATGACGTCAGTCGAACCTCAGGTTCAGATGCCAGGGTTCAGTTCCAGTAATGATGGTTACTATACCCTGCCGTCTCAGGGCAGTCCTGAGTGGACTGCTGCGGATCTGGGAGACCTCACCTCCAGCTACACGAATCCCTACCTATGCATCAGTGGTTCTGGAATGAATGGAACTTCTGGGCCCCAGGCAGGCGCTGCCATAGACGGCCCGACGTACAGCATGCAGGGGTCCTACTCATCCATGGCTGAAGCTGGGGTTTTGGCAGCTGCAGAAGCAGGCTGGATAAGAGAGCCCCTGCAGGGGAACCGGATAAATCTGGGCAGGCCCCCCTACTCCTACTCTGCTCTGATCGCTATGGCGATTCACCGGGCACCCCAGCGACGCCTCACCCTCAGCCAGATCTACCAGTATGTGGCAGATAATTTCCCCTTCTACAGCAAGGGCAAGACGGGTTGGCAGAACTCAATCCGACACAACCTCTCGCTGAACGACTGCTTCAAGAAGGTGCCACGGGATGTGAATGACCCAGGTGAGAAAGAACGTCAATATTGCACTTCAGTTATTTATCCAAAGCAACTTACAGTTGGGGTTATAATTCATATGTGCTGTATGAGATTTGAACCCACAGCATCTGCATTGTTAGCACAACACTGTACTGTTTGAGCTAGAGGCAATTTATTACCTTTTATATCTGCATTTATAAATAGTACATAGGAAAATGAGTTGCTGAGTTTTAGCTTATCCATGTAGAATTTGATTGTTTCTGTAATGATGTGTGACAGAACATGGTCAAAACTGCAGAATCTTCAAGCCCGAAATGTTCATTTTCTTGATGGTGTACCTAATGAAATGGTCCCTTAACACAGGGTTCCCCAATCCGGTCCTCAGGGACCCACAGCCGGTCCACATTTTTGCTCCCTACCAGGAGCGGGGAGGGAGCAAAAACGTGGATTGTCTGTCAGTCCCCAAGGACCGGATTGAGAAACACCCCCATAATGGGGCCTCTCTCTCCTTGTAGGTAAGGGAAACTACTGGATCCTTGACCCCAATTGTGAGAAGATGTTGGACAATGGCAACTTCCGCCGCAAGAGGAAGAAAAAGTCTGACCCTAAGGCGGATGAGGCGGCACTCGACGTCTCGAGAATCCAGATGGGTGGGTGCAGTACCTCCCGGCTCCCCGCGTGGAGCTCTCCCTGCCTGAGCAACTTCCTGTCAGAGATGTCTGGGATAGCGGGCTCGCTTGAGGAGGGTGGCCACGTGCCGGCCCACGGCTATGGCTCCCACTGGCCTGCCCCCCCGCCTCCAGCACCCGTCTCAATCGTGCCACCCAATCAGCTCTGTTGCTTTAACACCGGACTAAGCTCTGCCCTCTACCACCAGGATGGCACTGAAGTCTAATAAGGCCAAATGGGGACTAAGCATCACCTACTCAAAGAGCCTCTGCCATTCTTCCCCCACTGTGGCAACTTCACTACCTGCCAGGGAGCTGGGTGGTCCCATTCGTACAAAACTCAGAGGCCCTCAAAAGATGACTTCCGCTGACCTTTCACCCAGAGGTCACATGATATAAACCTGTCACATGATTACCTTCTGAAAAATTAGTTTTGCGCATCTTTTCATACTTGCTGTTAAACTACGAGCAAAGAACAATGCTCTGCTGTTGTGGTCTGTCTTGCCTATTAATGGATCCCGATCCCTTCTCTGTATGATTCTTGGTGATTCTGAGAAGCTCGTCTCCTGATTGTCCCTCAGAGTCAAATGCAAAGACTCTTCAGTCATGCAGAGAGAAGAACATCGTCTATGGTCAAACCTAACCCTAACCCTAAACCTAACCCTAATCATAACCCTAACCGCTATCCCTAACCCCAACACTAACCATAACCCTAACCCTAACTGCTATCCCTAACCCTAACACTAACCATAACCCTAACCCTAAATGCTAACCCTAACCAATACTAACCATAACCATGTGCAGGTATTTCCGCTGTTTTTATGAGGGAAGGGGAGCTTGGCTTTTGAGAATTAATATGAAACATATGAATGTCACAAAAGCTTCCTGTCCTATTTATTATTAAAAATCAGTCATTTTCTTGTTCATATTTTCAGCCAGTGCATTAGCCATTGCTAATCAAATGCCACACAATGTTACGTTTCTGCAAAGATGTGCATCCCTGTGACATCAGCGCTCTCCGTAGTCCCAGCCCAAGACACTGTGACGTCAGTGAAATAAACACTTAAATAAAAAGCGAGATAACGGTCAGGCGTGTGACAAGAAGTGACGTTAACTCTGCAAACCGTGGTTACACACACCCGCGGGCCCTCAGGGTGCGGTCATGTGATCAGGTGGTGTCCGTCAGAGTTAATGGTCTGTGTAGAAATTACTAGCCCGAGATCGAATGAGAGAGAGAAAAAAACATTAAAGAACCGTCTAGATAACGACAGGTTTGACTATAAAAAAAAGTGCGATGAAGGGAAAAACATTCCCCCCCCCCCTTTGCCTGCGTTCTTTATTTTTTGTTTTGGGGAGATCAGTCTCTCAGTTCTAAATATAGGCGTAATATGATGGGTTTTCACAGTGCGATTTGAAGGCTGACAAAGAAGAAGTGGCAACAACATAGCTACAGAGGTAACTTCTCCGGCTGTCATCCAGCGAGAAAAGGGGGAATTAAACACAAACACAAACGCGCATTCCCTACGGACACCCAGTGCATGCTTGCTGACACAACATCTCGTATCTATCCTGGACAAAATGCAACACTCTCCTGAGATGCATCTGGTGCTAAATGTTGGAGTGCGTCGCCCGTTTTTCACGCGATTTGTACGTCGCCTCCTGTGCCAGTAAACGCGGCTTCGGCCGATGGAGGCAGATACCAGCCGCCCGATGCGGGGAACCCCACAGATGTCGCCCACGCCTCACTGCACCTCGTCATGAAACTGCAGGAGGAAGCAGTCAGCTTCTTAAAGGCAAAGTGTACTCATCTGTTCAAATGTTCTAACATCATCCCTTCATTTATCCGGAGGTGTAGCGACAGGACAGGCAGGGCAGGCAATGGCCTAGGGCCCCCCGAGCTGGGAGGGGGCCAATTACATGATACTTTGCAACGACAAATCTGTTTTATTTGTGTATTCTGTTTTTTTAGTAAAGGTAAAAATACAGGTCTTGTGTTTATTAAAATTCTCTTTGTTAATATTATTAATTTACTCTTAATAAAATAAAGGTACTAAATTTTACCAGGCCTGGGGAGGGAGAGTTGGAGGGCTCCCCCGAGTGCCTATAATTGCCTCTGCATCTATCTATCCATTTTTCGTAAGGACCGCCAGTACATTGTAGGGCATGTTTCAATATCTAGTTTGTGGAAAATGTAGATATTTTTTTACAGAGTGAAAAAGAGTTTTACTTTGTTTTGAGATGCGCTGTTATTATGCGAAAATAAAGGCGACAGTGAATCTGTCTCAGACACGTTTGTATTTCTTTTATTTGTCAGAGCAATTTGTCCAACGCGACATACTATTGAGGCAAATAGCACATTATAAACATACGCGCCACTGAGGAGCGGATTAGGCCGCAGTGCGGCTAGACGGGGCATCCAGTAGGACCCCCAGGTACTGGTGTAAGCAGGACTGGAGCAAACATGGAGATCGTTTGCCAGTCAGCGTGCGAGCAGTTTTTCCTGGACGGCAGTTAGGGGAATGAAGAAAAATATGTTTCGTACAGAAAGAAAGGTGGAAGTGGACACAAAGACGGGGGGGGGGGGGGGGTTTGGGTACTCCACAAGCATGAAATGTGGTGAGTGATGCCAGGAAGATAACATAGGGGGCGCCATTGCCCCCTCACCCTCACATCACGCTCGGAGAGACCCGACGTTGTGTCCTGGCAAGTCTTCTGGGAGCAGAATGCGGGGGCGAGGATAAGATCAATGGTCTACCCCCATGACCCTTTACCTGGAGACCTGAGGGGCCGTCACCGGGGTGATGTGGGACATGGTGACAGGCCGGGGGCGGGGGGAGGGGGGCAGGGGGTGGTGTTTCCATCCAGGTGTCCCGGTTGTCGAACCGACGCAGGGATCAGGTTTCTCCTGCATTAACGACCGATACCAGGCCGATCATCCGTCATGAACGCGGTACCTAAAGGTGTCTCGCCATCCGGCAATTTCACCTTGAACGGTGTGACGGGGACAGAAACGGGGCCTTTGGACTCCCACTCGCTATTCACATTAACCAGCATGGAGCCAAACTGGTGCCTCCACGTACTGGGGAGTATGAGGGACTGAGGGGGGTCGAACAGGAAAATTTCAACTTGTCCACCACGCATGTAACTTCACTGAGAGTGACTGAGGCCGGCAGGGAGGTGGGATGTGAGGTCGGAGATCATGCCGCTCATCTCGCCTGAGTGATGTCACTGTCTGTACGATGACATCAGGCACCTGTGCACAGTTTTGGGGAGCAACTGGTTACATGTGACAGTGTCACGTAAATAAATTACAAAATAAATATAATTGTAATATAGTACAGTTACTGAGAAAAAATATCCCATTTTAATAATATTGATATTAAATTACAGTTACTAATCAAAGTGTTGGTGTTTACAAAGGGGTTAGTATTTCAGCAGTATTTCACTTCATTGCTTGTTCCTTCAGTAGTTCACAAAGGTTTACATAATTAACAGATATAGTAACAAATACAGTAACTGCTTGAGATAAAACATGCGTCACGATTCATTAATGATCAATTAACATGAGATCAGTATGTAACTCAGACTTAGTTTGTGATTAATTAATACATAAGCAATAGCATAATACTAGATTATTTGTGCCCCCTCAAGTGTTACCATTGCATTTTAAGAGGATAACCTTCCCAATGCTGCCTGTAAATGTGGAATGACCCCCCCCCCACATTGCCTATTGAAAGGTCATAACCGCTCCCAATAGGAACAAGGAAAAATTTACCCAATTTGGAGTCCAGGCTAATCTACCAGAATCATACCACCCCCAAGTGCCACGGTACCGCAGTTATTGCTTCAGTTTTAATGTCCACCCACTCGCAACCATAAATCACGCTGAGCTGCCTGTCCGCCGGTGCTTCACACCCATGCTAACTGCTAACCAGGTGTTAATGGCACAAAAGAAACGCAGTTCTGCAGTGTTCCCGGTTCTCGCAGAGCATTTCAGGAATGTCTGTGCCTTGGCCTGGTGCTGCGCAATCTCACGTAATCAATCCAATATCACTATCGGGGAATTCACCGAAAAGAAATCTGGTCAGTAGGTGATGTAGGTCGTTTTATGAATACGCAGAGATGAAAAGAGGCTGTTTTTTAAGTTATAAAGCTTAATTGTTTATCTTGGATTTGTGACATGCCCTTGGTGTAAAACCTGCTTTCAGGGAAGATTTAAGTATTTAAGTATATCCTGAAACACCACACCCACTGTTTCTAGATAAATCCAGAAACTTCTGTGACTACTGTCCCATGATTTCCTGCACGGACAGCGTTCTCAACCGAGTAGAGGTACAATATTTATAGACGATAACCATCACAGCCACCTCTAACCATAGCGGTACAGGCTAGGCCAGTGACCACTCCTAACTGGAAATGCCTTATACCTAATTATAATGGCAGTTGATGAAAACATAATCAAAATGTACATTTTATAGCCAAAAAGGAAACAGAAAATACATAACGGTGGCTTCAAGGATTTACCACTAATTTACATGATCAGATTTGACTTTCAGTTTTAGGCAAAACATGGAAGGTTCTCAAGTACAAACTGTTCAGACAGAGCGGAGTTTATTTAACTGTCAAACACCTGAGCAAGCCTTTACAGGCCCCGCAAAGGATATCCAGAACGTTCTCTTTTAAGCCATGCATCACCCACTCGCCATCTCACATCAGCGATGCACATGTAAATGTAGTGACTCATATGTTCATATATTTACTATATAGTGCAATACAGGTGGAAATAAAATGACACTTTATTTGCCGTGTGAACAAGTGAGTGAAGGTGTATTGGAATTATTTAGTATAATCCTAGTTTTTTGCAAGTAGGCCATCCCTAGAGGATTTTTTCTCCCTACTTGGGTGTTTTTGGTTCCTCTCCTCCATTTTTTTTCTCTTTCTTTCTTTCTTCCTTTCTCTCTCTTTCTTTATCCTCCTTTTCCCCTAATTTTTGTTACTATTCTGCTTTAATGATGTTCTGCACTCATGTAAAGCGCCTTGGGGAGACCCTGTTGTGAAAGGCGCTATATAAGAATAAATTGAATGGAACTGAATTGAGCCCCATCTTGCCCTCCTTTAACACACACAAACAGATGAGGATGCAGCTTGGGGCCTGAGCACAAGGTCTGGCCATTTATACCTGCATTTTTCAGGGGGTTAAGGGTCTTGCTCAAGAGCCCAACAGGGAAAAAAATAGTGTTTGAGTCTATTTTTACATTTTTATGATGGATCACATTGGACAAGGTGTCAGAAAAAATGATGAAATACAGAGGCTAAAAATGTCATTTGACTGTGAAAGTGAACCGAGTTCCAAAAACTATTCCGAGTTCTTGCCGTTCGCATCTCCCACATCTCTCGTCGTTCATCAGTCATCAGGGTCTCCTGTATGTCTCCAGGCTGCCAATTATTGCTCAACACAATGTGATTAAAATCAATAAATCTCGGGCTACACCTGCACCTTCGTGCGGTGCACACGCACGCCCACGCACGCCCACGCACGCCCACACACCTGTCCTGACACTTCAACTGCACTGTGGAGCGGAGATCCGGGGGTGGTGGGAATGAGAGAGAGAGAGAGAGGAGGGGGGGGGGGTCTTGGAAAAAGTGGGAAATATGGAAGAGTGGAGAAATGAAGATTCCCTTTGTATCCAACCACGTTAACCTTCATGAAGTCACCTTACATGGGACGACAAGTGAAAGTCACATGACTAATGGTGCGCAATAGTCTGGAAAATGTGGTTCTGCTAGACAAATGTATGCTTAAGTTGAACCACTGAAAATTTGCTACAGCTTTTAAGTATGTATATAATTCGATAGACAGTAGTGTGGGAAAGTCTTAGGCAGTCAAAGAAAATGAAGGTGTAAATCAATGTTAGCTGAACGTATCCTAACCTTTCCTAAAGTCATCCAAGTGTTTACAGCGACCACCCAGTTCACACACGTAATTGTTGACTTGACCATTAGTGCATCTTGTCTGGCTAATCAGCACGTATTGAATTATTTGACAAACTAAGCTAAATTAATCAAGCTGGTGGAGAAATTTAGCAAATACATGGAACGGCTGGGAGGTTTGGGAACTGAAGCTGTGTTCATCTAGTCGTCCAGCAAGATATCGGTGAATTTTCGGAGAACATACCTGTGGTTTATTTATCGTAATACCGCAAAATAAATCCTCCTCATCTTTATTAATCTCAGTCATACATATATAAAAACACTGCATATACGTGTGTGTGTGTGTGTGTGCGACCCAGATAGATAGCCGTAAACATTTATGTATGCATGTTTTATAAAATTAACTAAATAAATAAATTTAAATAAATGTGACAGCACATATTTCTGGATATGATCAGACCATTTAGACCACGGGTGTCAAACTCCAGTCCTGGGGGGCTGGAGCCCTGCACATTTTTGTGTTTACCCTCATTTAACACACCTTATCCAACTCCTTGTGCTAATTACCACACAGCTCTTGAGCTGAATCATTTGTGGTGGAACAGGGAGAGAGCTAAGCTACACAGGGCTCCGGCCCCCCAGGACTGCAGTTTGACACCCCTGATTTAGACGAAAGGACCAGGTTGGGAAAAACTTTGCATGTGCCCTATGCCAGTCCAACCCCCCCCCCACCCCACAAGATCTTAACTACAACTCAGCTTGGAGTTCTCAAAAAGAGTGCTTTTTAGATGTCTTGCCTCAAAGAAGAAGAGAGAAAAGGTGGGGGGGGGGGGCGGGGATAAAACAGGGGAGCTGAAGGATTTGGGGAGTGCAAGAAGAACAAGACTGAGGGGGGGGGGCATCAAAGTGGCATCACCCCCCCGGGCTTCCCTGGCTTGTATTCCAAGTGCCATAATCACTCATATCTCCTTTAACCAAACCACTGGCCGACGCATCTGTCCGCGTCCCTCCGCCAGACAGACCGGCGAAGCCGTTCAGCGGCGGCCGCTGGCATGCGGCGTTCAGCCTGAGCAAACGTTCAGGGAAAGGAGGAGCGGAAAAAGGAAAGGAAGCAGGAGCCGCCCCGAAGCCGCACTTCACCTGCCGACCATCGATGTTTGGCTGTCAGATGAAAGAGAGGATGGTGTGGAGTGTGACTGACACAGCGAAAACCGCGGGGCGTTACCCCAGTAACCATATTTATTATCTGTATTTAAATGTATGAGTTACTTCATTATTATCTACTGCTGAAATAGTTTCAGTGAAAAATATTTCACTCCACTTAACCATATTTTTGTGTAGAAAGACGATATTGTTGTCCGTAGTTCCTCTGAGCTTTTCTGTGAAACTGAATTCTCCAGCTCTTCAGGGCTGATATTCATAATAATAATAATAATTATGATTATTATTATTTCTCCTCAGCCATCTAGGCCATCTATAAATTAAATAAATTCATCGATGATGACAGAATGTGAAATGTACTTTATTAATGCACTTAAAGTAATTAAATGTGCAAAAAGAAATGGAATGAATTCATGTTTCTTTTCCGTTTCAAATCTAAGCAACGTTTACACACTTGAAAAATATGAAATGCTGGCGCGGATTTTACATTTACTGGTAACATGGAGCACAGACACGGTCAGAGTGATAAGATAACGAAAAAACCAAACCAACAGGCCATGATAACACAGCACCTGATACACGCACCGCACTGGTTACTAAAACACCACACTGCTTACTAAAACAACGCACTGGTTACTAAAACACTGCAGTGTTTATTGAAATCAGACAGAAACAGGCTGCAGGACCAGTGAGGCGGGGCTAATTTGCATAGGGCCCCCCCCACACCACAGTGCTCTGTGTGGTGTGTAAACAGCACGATCTGCCAGCCACGTGTCAAGGGTACATGGAACAGTCACATGACCACCCCCTGTATGGGGGCCCCTGCATATTCAGGGGCCCCTGCAGGACCGTCGAATGGGCATAGATGCCCCGTCAGTTGCAGGGGACCCAGCACTTTACAGGGACCCCTGAATATGAAAAATGATGGGTATGGGTTTACATTAACTGCACCTTCATAATGCTTTTATATTACATTCATGAAACGTTCAGTGCACCTTCATAATGTATTTATTAAGTATTCATAAAACATTCATAAACATCGTGTATGTATACCTCAACATCCTAACATCCCTTAACAGCTGTAATATACATTAATAACAAACATTATAACTGTATAATCATGTAATGATTGTTACATGATGTTTGTTACATATGTTTGTTATATGATTATAACCCTAACCCTGACCAGCGGCCTCCCAGCCCCATACACAGTAAACGGTGATGCACTGTGAGCTCTGACACCTTTATTATTACTGTTGTTTCCAGCAATTTGTGCTACAGTAGCTCTCCTGTGGGTTCGGACCGCACCGGCAAGCCATCACTCCACACACACACACAGGTGACTTTGTAATGCATGTAATCCATGCTATTCACCTCACCTCTCAGTGGTTTTAAATGTTATGGCCAGTTGGCCTACATGAATAAGACATCCAGTAAACTGGAGAACTGAAGGAGTTTCAAACCCGAGAGAAAGATACTTATTTTATATGTCAGCGTTGTGTAAAAAAAAAAAAAAGCCGCAGGTTGAGTTCTGATTGCGCGCGAGGAAATGAGAAAACGCACAACTTCCGTTTTGACTCACTGGCAAAATTTACCTAGTAAAACTACCGATGTGTAAAAATATCGCCATGCTGAGGCCTGCTACTGCTGTACACGACTTGCCAGAAAAGAGGAAGGAGTAGCTGAAGGCCTGAAGCGACGTCGTTCATTCCGGGAAACCCCTTGAATACCGGGCATCCACAGAAGCAATTACTGACAAACAATTAACTGCATCATGCATCGCGAGTTAACATATTTGACAGAGTCAGAGAGAGAGAGAGAGAGAGAGAGAGAGAGAGAGAAAAAAAAAAAATGTAGAAATACGGCTTTCAATGGGAGCAGCTTGCGTCAAACTGGATTCACGTACCTGAGTCATTGCTGCCCTCTCGTGGTATGAAACAAGATCCCGAAAGGCGCCTTTAAATAGCGGAGTTTGGCAAATGCCGACGAATATTTAACTAACAACTTCCGGTTATGATGAACAGCCTAAGTAAATATTTATTACTAGCTGGAGGTAATATAGAAATATAGTAATACAAACATAAAATTATCTTTTTCTAAGTGCAGGAGAAATCAGATTTTGAGTGTATAACTTTTGTGCGGCTGATATTAGATGTTTTTAAAGCGGACTCAAGTGCTTAAACATACGTCAGGGCCACAAATAAGTACTATCAAATCTATAATCCATTAATCTAAATATAACGTGCATTTTACTGACAAGAGTAGTTTTGCGCCGAGTGCATCCATAATTAATAATGTATATATAAATCTGTCAATAGGTACGCGGATGATGTATCGTGTTTTTGCGCCCGGCCCTACGCGATTTAGTTGCTAGAAAAAGCCTTGGAACGATTGTACGGAACAACACGAACTGAGCCTTAGTGATCACGGGTCATATATCCTGAACTAGTGAAGTTCTGACATTTGAGTCGATTAACTATATTTAGTATTACTTGTTACTCAAATACCCGGTAACCGATTTATGTCGTGCTGTAACAAAGTACTCGTGCATGTGACTTCGATGCATTGCCGACGTGAAGCACGTTTATTCTAGCAGAGGGAAAACACCGCATTCACTGACTGTTTATTAAGGAGAACCGCCCAGATCGAGTGCCCCCAGGTCCGTCGCTGGCGTGTGTTAGCGTAGCATCGGACCCATTTGTTTTACCCCTTTACATCAAAGGCGCACACAAAGCACGAGGAAAACATCATTACGTTTTTATTTTCACCAGTGTGCTGTGAGATTTTTATTTTTACAGAACCTCGCACCAAAATTGTATCCTTTGTTCTCCCAAAACAAGCAGGGACTCGTCAAACTCCATCAGCAAAGGCAAAAGATACAGAAATTACATACATTCAGTCGAAGCCAACCATCGGGAAGTTAATAACTGCAGGGGCCCTTAAACACAAACAAACAGCCGGTTTCCGACAGCGCAGCAAGTAATTACTTGTCACCTGTCAGTGTCCTGGGGTTTGGACAGTCACTTTCAGTTTGAAGCACAAAGTCAAGTCTGTTGCATTCTGTCCTTTTGAGAAGTAAAAAAAAAAACAGCAAACTGAAATATAACCTGAAACATCATCCAGAGTGAGAATTGTTTCCCAGAAGGGTATTAAACTGGTTAGCGTATATATAAAAAAAAAAAAAAACTTCCAAAACTGGCAAAGTTACTAACAACATGCAAATATCAGGCTTGGTAATGTCACAATTTAAATAATAAACTTCACTGCGATCAATATATTCTAAAAATTACAGATAGGGATTCAATACTGAAAGGACGGTATGAAAGGTCCGAAATTCAAACAAGAACAATCCGAGTGAACAATCCTACATTTCAAGGCACTCTATGGATAGTGTGGATTTAATACCTAAAACAGAAGCGCCTTCAGCTAGCAAAGATGTATTAGGAAACTAGGATAAACACACTGAATAGGCCCCCTTGTCCCTCTTAACTGGAAATACGTATCCTGCCCCCAGTTCGCCCTCCACCACATTCTGAAAGCCTGCTTCACTAAGACACCCCCATGTCAACACACTCTAGTCCTCCTGCAGCGAACCGGGACCCCTTGCCCGCACCTCAGAGCGCCTCGAACAAACATATCCCTCCGCCACCGGGGGCCTAATAACCGAGCAGGTGTGTTTTACATTAGAATCAGTACCCTAACCCTCCACAAGTCCTTCAAAGGTTCTAAGGGTTCCTCATAAGCATTGAAAAGACACTTCAAATAAATAACGTTCATTAAACTGCACAAAATAAAGTTACGAAATATAGAACACAAAGAAACACATGAATTTTAAATACTAAATTAGTTAAATATTAAACAGTCAAGTCAATGGCGACAAAAACCAGTAAAAACGATGGCAGGTTTGAGCTTCAGTCTGTAGGCCGGGTCAGCCAATGAGAATCAGCACGTGATGGATCACTGCTCCTGCGTGTGCAAGGCGGTGCCCACCAGGGCATGCCGGATGGTGCGGCCGTGCAGCTTGTAACCGTCCAGTCTGACCACGGCCACAATGCCTGGCTGGACGCCTTCAGCCGGCACGTGGCACACGATCTCATGGTCGTAGGGGTCGTACTGACCCCCCACCGGGGTCATCTTCTCCAGGCCGTGTTTGGTGAAGACGCCCTGCAGGCAGCTCTGGATCTCGTTCAGCCTCAGCGACACCCCCTCCTCGCCCTCGAACTCGACCGCCGTCCGCTCCAGGAGGTCAGCGACCTCCACCAGGTCCCGGCAGAAGCTCTGGATGCCTTCGCGGGTCAGGGGGTGAGAGAGTGTGAGGCCCGTGCACTGGCTCGGTTAAATCACAGGATGTGTAGAGAAGGTGCCGTACTCACCAAACAGCTTGGCATCCTCCACGAACTTCTGCGTCTTCTTTCGTACCGTGTCGCAGTCAGCCAAAGCTTTTTTATATTTTTCCTGCCAAAACATCGTTTCAAGTCTGCTTGACGGAAATGCATTAAACAAAACATCCCACTCGTAATTTTAGAAATAAACGAACAGCAAAAACAGCTTTAATGTTGGGGGTGTTCAGCCCATCCAGGAGATGCTCTTACAGTCAGATCCTGCACTTGTTCCTCCAGCTTGCTGGCCTGCATCTCCAATGTCCTCACGTTGGTGACCGAGTGCCTTTGGTCCTCCCGGTTGTCGTTGTCATGGCAGAAGTTTCCAGAGCTGCACTGCTCCGCGGCTTTGCTAGATGGACGAACCAGGACCCTGGAAAGCAAACAACTGATATAAAAAGACAAATTTACACATCCTGCCATATAGGGGTTGCAAATTTCTGGGAATATTCCCATTAATTCCCACATATTCTTGTTTATTCCCATGCAACTTGGAATATTTCCAAAATTCTCCATCTTAACTTCCCCAGGAATGGGAAATTGATGGAAAATTTCTGGAAAGTTTGCAACCTTACTGCCATGTTTAAACTAAGTTGCTATGCTGAACAATATAAATCTACACTGTAGTAGCCATTTACCACCAAGTTCTCATAATTTAGTGTTATTACACACTTTTTCCCTTGTAAACTGAATCTGTGTACCACACACAAATAGCAATAAATACAGCAAGGATTTTCATAGTCTGCTACTGAAAACGCCTTTGCGGGTGTCGATTCCAGGCCACCATGCCCTCTGCCACACAGGCTGCTTTCTATATGTGTTAGAGGTCACACATGTGCAGAAGATCGTCTCACGACAAAGCCACTTTCTACTGCAGCAAAGCTGCCTCACTCAGACTCAATCCCCGATCGAAATCCTGAAAGAACTTTTATTTAGAGGCCTCCATGAAATCTATGACTCATTTTTAAATTCCACAAAAAAAAAAAAAAGACTACAAAAATTCTCCTGGAAGTACGTGCATCTCCTGGATGCGATGCCAAGTTCACCACAGGGCACATCAATGCAAACACAGTCGTGCATTCTGGGTAATTTAAAGATACCATTGAGCCTAACGACATGTCTTTGGACTGCGGGAGGAAATTGGAGCGGCCAAAAGAAACCCACAGGACATGGGGAGAACACAGAACTCCATACATACCCATATGTGTATGCACACACACACACACACACACACACACACACACACACACACACACACACAACAGGAGTGGGATCCAACCCCCAATGGCGTGATCCACAGTGCCGGCCACACCTGAATACAGTCAGATGCAAACAAACAAGAGCAACACTAAGAAAACCGAAACGAAAGAGACATTTAGAAGTACTGCTGAATTAAAAGGCGGTTCCAAACTAGTCTGTCCCCTACGCTCAGCGGAACCAATTTGACTTCTATATAATTTTCCGATTCACGTGAAAGCCAGGTATGGAAGCGTGCAATATCAAGGGCAGTGGTCTGATAGAATTTCAAAATGACAGTTTCATACTGACAAGTACCACTGGAGTAACAGTTTCTCAAATAAGAGTTTCAAGGAGAAGTGTACTCAGTTCTTGGTATCGCAGTATTGAAGAGGATCAAGTCCTGAGCACAATGTCTGGACGGCCTCGCTGAGCGTTCAAGGCCGAATACCATCATTAAGGGTTTATTGACAGTTAAATATCTTTGGGAGACGGTAAGAGAACCACAAGCCTTCGCCGACTGCCTTGCTCAACATTGGTAAAATTGACACTAGTAACCTTGAAACTGTGCTGCGAGCAGAAAAAAACCGGCAAACAAATCAGCGATAACGCGGATTGAAAGTCTTGTGTCAGGATTGTGTACTTTTTCAAGGAGATCCAAATATGCCACACTAATGGTGCAAATCAGGAACAAACTGCGGGGAAAAAAACAGCTGGAAGAGGAACACAGAACCAACAGGGCAAGCAGCACTGAGATCTCTCAGCGAGATTATCACCCGATTATCTAAACAACAGATTGGAAGGAAAATTACACTGCAATTACAGAAAGATGCTGATGGCTTGCAAGTGCAGTGAGGCATAAGGCTCCACGGGGACATTTCTAAAAAGGGTCCAAGCCCAGTTTGTTTAGGATTTCGTGCTGTGAAGGATAAGAAGTTTCATCAGAAGGCAAAGATGCAAAAGTTCAGCAATGTGGCGAACCGCAAGTGTATCACAGGCCCTACTTAACCTGACTTCACAATGCATCTTGGGCAATCAGATCGCAAGTGGACCGCGCTAAAAATAAATGTAAAACGACCACAAAGACACATTCAGTGATCCAATCACTTAAACCACTCGCCAAAGTGATTTCGGACGCCTTTGACCACATACCTTTTGTAGTATAAGCGGTAATGTGTCCCCGACAAAAGCTTCACAATGACTGCGCGAAGCAGCAACTAAATCTGATCACAAGTGGTCAACTGTAAACCTTGTATGTATGCATTGTAAACATGTGTAAACGGCCACGTGTCTCCGCCGTCTGCTTGTGATCCGATCGGCCAAGACGCGTTTTAAAACGAAGTCTTAACAACGCCACTGAGTTTCTAATGATGAAACTCAGTCAATAAAGACAAAAGGTGTACAAAAAAATGTCCCTGTAAACGATAATTTTCTGAACGCACTTTAGGCACCGAGTATTCTGCATTACGTGCGAAGATGATAAATTATTAAGAAGGTAATGAAAATAAGATGCAACAGTATTGCACTTGCAAACCCACTGACATCAACACAGAGTGGGTGTGTGGGCATGCACAGCTCTCCAGTTAACGGACTCAGTTCAACGGTGCAAAACCAGGGTTGCCAACTTTGGTCAGCTGGCTGACGTGAGATATTCAATTCGAGACAAGTCTACGCACACATACACACGGCAACTGCAGTTTTATTACCTTGTAAATAGTCGATAGTCTGTAGGGTTTGCGAACTACCCCAACTAGCTAATTTTGGCTTTATAATGGAATAATATACACTTGCTGTAAGATTTCCTGCGTGAGCGTCTGGAAGCGTGATTGTCACGCCAGATGCGCGAGAGCTGGCAACCCTGTGCAAAATATCATCAATGCGAAGAGAGCGTCGCACATTAAATGGCGCAACAATGTAGCCTAATAGCTTCCAGTGGAGGAAAAAAAACAGCCATCGAACAGATACATTAAATGCCAATTAGAAAGCTCGCCGAAATATACGTGTGCCCCCTTTTTTTATTAAAACAAAGATGAATTTCATGACAGCGATTAAAACCACGCGGTTTATTACGCTAACTAGCCCCCGCGTGGTTTATCAGGTTAAAGAGATGTGCTGAAAGAAACCGAAACATGGGTAACATTAATCGTCATCCGGCGGTACTGATTAAGGTGAGGCTGCCCTGGGGGTCATTACGAAGTTAACTAGCAGATCAAAACAAAAGGCAACCATGCATGGTTAAGCATACCAGGGCTGACGGTCCCTTAAAGACCGTTAAATAGACAATATAAACTAGTCCTAGCCTCCTATAACCAGTGAGAAGCAGCGGGTTAAAAAAACCATCGACCCATTTTTTGGTCACAGACTCGGAAATGGAAAAAAAAACTAATAAATCACACAGCTAGCTGGCCAACTAGCCAGTCATGCGAACTAGTTTCGGGGTTATGTTACCGAACATAAGTTAAAACCTACTAGTACCGAGGTATCATTAACTAGTGTCGGTTTATTGCTGAATGAGGTGTTAAACTAAACTAGCCAGATGTAACGGCTGGTTAGCTGTCAGGTTAGCTAGCCGCCTGGTTACTGACGGACCGCTGGTTAGCTACCTAGCCGGCTCCCCCTCGCTACATCACCCACGAAAGCCGCCCGCATCCACCTGCTGCCCCCCGGGCCGACGGGCAGTAGTCTCCAGAAGGCGCTCGACGTTTTCCGGGCCAGCAGAACGCAAAACTCCGCCATGGCGGCGAGAAAGAGGCGGTCCGTGAGCCGCCGGGGGCGGGTTGGAGACGGAGGATGGCGCGAGGGGGCGGAGGGAGCGCGTGGGCGGGCATGGTGCGGTCATCCCCGCTGGAGGGCAGGGCTGCCAGCTCTCACGCATCTGGCGTGACACTCCCTCCCGCAAGAAATCTTACGGCAAGTCTATATTTTCCATTATAAACCTAAAATTAGCTACATCCAAAGCATTGGGGTAGTTTGCAAACCCTGCAGACCATTTACAAGGTAATAAAACTGTTACATACATGCAAATGTGTGTGCATGTGTGCGCAGACTTGTCTTAAATTGGAAATCTCGCTCCAGCCAGCTGACCAAAGTTGGCAATCCTGCCAATCAAATAAAGACATTTTAACCTTATGACTAGTTTAAGCTGGTGGAATACAGGCTTGCGTTTCAGACGTTGTCGTGACCTTCAAGTAACATCTCAGGATTAAGCACCTGCATCACCCAAATTTCCTCTTGCAAACCACACTATGCAGTCTCATACTGATAAATAACGAACTGACCGACAAAACAAGGTTTTCAATTTCCGGTAAAAAAGTGCACCCATACACAATCCAAACTGGGTCGAACCTGTACCATTTGCCAAGCTAATATTCTAGGTATCCAATTTATTTAGACCAATTTTAGGGAGCATTATATAAAAATATGCTAGAGATTCAGCACAATGTCTAAACAGGATTTGCTGTAGGCATAAATACTCGACAGACCTGTTTTATACGCATTGCCTTTATGAATAGGCCGCTGGAGACCGACACATTTAATTTCTTGATGCTGACACATCCAGAAACCAGCAAGGAAAATGTTTCGTGCAGAATTTATTCATAAAACCGTGGCGAGCCATTGGTTTTCAGGTTTACCGATACACAGATCTTTCTGCAAGTTTTCTTATCAAAAGCAAAAAATAAAATAAAAAATACAGTACAAAACATAAAAACAACATAAATTGTAAATAGAAACGTGTGTAAAAAAGTTAATTCTGAAATCGTATTTCTGTTTGCTGTTTTTTTTTGTCAGTTTACACTGAATACAACGTGAATTTAACAACATTAAATAAAGTGCAACATTTGTAAATTTCAAAGGTAGATATTTAGATCAGAACCATAAGTAATGTCATTTAGGAACCAGGACAATTTTTACTAAAAATGAACAGAACAAACTTTAGGAGAATTAAATCAAATCCCCTGCCATTTTAGATTGCTGAAGAGCTCGTTCTTTTTTGGTAACCATACATTTTTACTTACTGCCTTTTGAAACTGCATGCTATCATTCACCAGAGCCCTCATATTTTCAAGTGTCTGCCCTATCGTACTCATGGAAGATTGGCACACTACTATGGTCAGTCATGTCGACACTCAGAAGGAAGCCTGTGATGAGCGTGTTCTGGAATCCGTGTCAGTGCTGCAACGCTCCCGACGCATCGTCTGAATCCCATCCGTACGGCAGATTTCACCCCCCCCCAAATGACGGACACCTTTGAAATCTGCACGTGACTGTCTGGTATACCGGAAGGTTTCATTTCTGCCCATGGGATTAAAAAGATTGGCTTTTAGGCTCAGTTTTATCATGAGAGGCAGGAGAAACAGTCCACACTCAGAACACTCGGAAAGTTCCGTGGGGAGAAACCTGGTCCACCTAGGTTCCTTTCTTCATCTCCCATTCCTGCAGAAAGAAAATTTGAAGGGTTCATAGACTAATCGAGACGTTAAAACTTATTTATAGTTGCAATGTGTTTGGACTCGCAACAAATTAAAAACACTGCCGTTCTGATGAAGTACTATCCACGTGCCGAACCCTTCAGCGTATACCTTGGCTTTTTGCAGGACGTTTCCGCGCGTGGATGCGTATACCGGGAAGGCACTCTTGCGGATTTCGGAGCCCATGCTGACTGGAAGGTCTGCATTACTGTTGGGGCTCTCGCTCTTCTTTCTCTCAACCTTGGATCAGAAGATAAACTAAAATATAGATTTACTGCACCTGAAATATACTCCTTCTATCACGTGTATGTTAAATCCTGTGATGCAAAGGATTAGGGTCAGGGTCACATATACAGTGAATCTTTTATTTATTTAGTGGATAATTAAAACAGAATTTTTATTGTAAACATAACCAGTTTACTACCATAATACTAATTGTATGTATTATTTTTCGGTCTATAGCAAGGTTCCCCAATTCCAGTGCTGAAGGGCCAGAATCCAACACAGTTTGTAGATTGTCCTCATCAAACACAGCTTAACCAGCTAATTACTAAACTGTGTTGCAGACTGGCCTCCAGGACTGGAACTGGGGAACCCTGGTCTACAGTGTACTTGAAGGAATCTAAAAATGGGTAAACTATGGAAGTAGATATCTTCTGAAATCCATAGAGGATTACATCATGTCTCTAGATGGTAGATTTTTGAGCCACAAGGGGGTGTTTGTTGACAGTTTTGCTGCATTTGACAGGAAGGTCTTCAGCGGTTGAGCCTGGCCCTGATGTCGGGTGCCTGACCTGTGGTGTAGATGCCTTGCCGGTGGTCCTGCTCTCCACAGACGCCCCCAGCATGCCTCCTGCCAGAGACTTCTTCAGGTTCTCCTTCACCTCCGTCAGCTTTAACTCTAAGTCCACCCGCTGGCCCTCCTTCTCCCTACAGCACTCCTCAAGCTGGGCTAGACGCGCTTCCAGAAGCTTCTGCGGTCTTCCTGTTTTCATAAATCATCAGGTAACACTTAACTTGGGGCACAAATAATGTAGTAATACACCAGTACTTAATCATTACTTAATGTATTAACCAACCATGACATCTACATGCACATGTCTGTTGTGTTTGTCCTGTTGAATTCAAGTTAGCAAATGGGAATTCGATGTAGACAGACTCGCTCACCTGCGGGACTCTTCAGCTCCTCCCTGACCTCCCTTTTCTCCTTGCGCAGTGAGAGTAGGGTGTTACGGATATTCTCCTTCTCCTTCTCCAGCGCCTCCTCCTCACATCGGTATCTCCGGGCATCCTCCTCCGCTCGCGTCTTCCCGTACTTCCCACAGTGGTTCGTGTCTGACGGCACCGGCGGAAGGACTGTATGACTGGCCACTCACTTGTAGCCTGAGTAACTCAACCAGCTTACAGCAACCGTTACCCTTCGTTGTGAGTCAAACCTTAAAGACGCTGATGTGTAAACACAACACGTGGGAACCTAAACTGCATGCCATTTTATTAAAATGAGAAAGCAATTCCATCTTTTAAGGAGCTACATTTTTTAGAAAGTATATCTTTGGCCTGTCGGTCAAAATCAGCCAAACACCTGTAATAAGATACTTCATTTGTTGTTTACACGAGGTGCAGGTATTTTTCACACATCCCTTCTTTACTGTCATATGTGAGACACAGACTCACACATGTAGGTGAATGTGACAGCAGTAGAAACAGCATTATGATGAGTCTGCTCAGTATGTGAAACTCCCAGCCCAACGCTTGCAATCAGGCCCTTACTCGAGCCGTGGCTTCTAGTGTCCTGGAGGCTGTTATTTGAGTGTCTGCTGGAATCAGCTGAGAGCAGCTTCCCATGGCCCACTGGCTTGCGGCCCTGTTCCTCAAGCTAAGAGGGGAAAAAGGGTGGGGTGATAGGTGAGGCCGGTTTTGGGACCCGTTTAGCTTAAGCTGTGACACATCGTTCATGGGAGTTTTAGATACACAAGCATGTTCTGAGTCCAGAAGGAAAAATGACTGGTTATCTCTCTGAACCAATCATAATCAAATTGGAGGAGGTGGGTCCAAGCAACTAAAGGGGGCAGGATCAACCAATTAGATACCACCTCCTCTAGTTGCTTGGACCCACCTCCTCCAATTTGATTGGTTATCTTTCTGCATTCAGAACGTAAAACTTCCACACGCTCACACATCACTCACATCATCTGCTGCATGGGACAGAGAGAAAGAGTGAAAATCTGACAGGTTTTCTCATCTCTGCAGAGTCATCTAAATGGCAGGAAACCGAGACTAATTATATATATGTAATTAAATAAAAACATTTCTCAATCTAACTGTCAAACCCCACTAGGGTACCCAACACTCCTGGACATAGTTGTGCAAAACCCCACAAATTCATCCACACTTTAACAGAGGATTTTAAAAATAATTATACGTAAATCGATTTTATGAACATTTTGAAATGATGGAACTTTAAGTAAGAAAGTTAGTTTAAAATGAGACAAATTGAGCACTGGGGAAGGCCTGTGTATGACGTGGATTTACTACAGATCTATGGTCTGGATTAAACGTGTGGAAAGTTCTAGGCTTTACTTCTGTATAACTTATGGTGGGAAGTAATTTCAGGGTATTTAAGGCAACTGATACAGCTGACAGACATATCCCTGAATCACCCACTCCACCTGCTGGGAGGACAGGAGGTGATTGTGGTTGTGAGTAGGAAATGCGCACCTGTACTCCCTCATAAGACACCTCATCGTACATTTCCGATCCCACTGAGGTGGAGCTGGTGGAGGTCGCCCAGCTAATGTGTGGAAAACAACAGGGGAACAGTACCGGACTGATTTAGTACACTAGATTCACATATAGTGCATGCATGACCTGACTGATCTAGTACACTAGATTCACATATAGTGCATTGCATGACCTGACTGATCTAGTACACTAGATTCACATATAGTGCATGCATGACCTGACTGATCTAGTACACTACACTACACTAACTATATTGAATCCAGCGCCCTCAACAATGACGACGGGAGTGTGTGGGGGGTGGGGTGGTACACTCACAGAAATGAGCGCCGGGCTGCGTCCCGCACACTGGAGACGGCCTCCAAATCCACGTACTCATAGCGCAGAGCATCTAGGTCGGCGCCGCAGCCGGTCTCGGCCATCAGCAGCCCGAGCCAACGGCCCATGTCCTCGCAGGAGCAGGCCTGCGGGTGCAGGGGGCACAGGGGGCGCAGTCACAGGCTGGCATGGCCACGTGCGGCTGATGCCTGCTTGCTAGCTAGTTTCCTGGCTACTCGGCTACTCCGATACACTTTTGCTTCCTGGCTGCTCGTCATGTAAATATTTGAGAACCGCCATTTTCCCTTGATTCCTAATGCAGCCTCCCCCCCCCCCCCAGTGAAATTACATTGGGGGTACAGCCATAGTACTAGGACCCCTCCAGCTCCAGCATTCATATAATAATAATAATAATTGATACTTTATTGATCCCCGTGGGGAAATTGTTTTTACGCCTCCCTCTCCCTCCCGGGGGGCCCGGGTCTGCGAAGGGCAGCCACCTGTAGCGGCGCCCAGGGAGCTGGGGGTTGAGGGTCTTGCTCAAGGACCCGCAAACGTGCTGAGGCTGGGTTTGAACCGGCGACCTTGTGATTACAAGCACACGGCTTAGCCCACTGAGCCACACGCTGCCCCCTATTAAACCCTTAATAGCTGCCAACTGCAACTGTTTATACGATTTGTTTTTATTCCTATATTATAATTACAAAATCTCAGATATAAATTGATATTAGAGCTATTTTTTTTCCCTGCTGACCATGTGGTCCTGATGGGGCTGGTTGTCATGGTAACATACCTACTCGGGCTTTCATACCTCCAGCGTGATGACCTCTGACCCCCCTCTTAGGATCCGGAAGGCAAAGGGGTGCTTGGGGTCGAGTCCGGGGGCCACTTCGCAGCCACACAGATCCACCGTGACCGGGGGGCCCGGGTCTCCGCAGCCGGACCGGACCTGTAGCGAGCCGGCCCACAGAGAACACCGGCGCTCCTCCCAGCCGCGCTCCGTCAGCACACTCAGGAGACCTGGGGGCGGATGGAGGAGCCGGAGGAGCTACAGCCAGGAGGAAAGCAAAGGAGGCGCACAGGGGAAGGAGGCCGGCCTACTCACCACGCCTGGGATTCTTCTCATCCAGGAGGGGGGCTTGGGGCAGGGGGGCTTTCTTCCTGGGGAAGTTGATAATTCGGGTGATTTTACGCCCCGCCGCTCGACTCATCGTGCCCGTCAGCCCCGACAGAGCACCTCGCTTCGCTTTACCTGTAGGGGGGGGGGGGGAAGGAGGGAGGTCCCACCGGTGAGAAATCAATGAAAGGAGCCACATCTGGGGCGGGGGTAGGGTGGGAGGGACAGGGGACTGGGGTCACTGTGAGAGGAACGTGCCTCCCAGACTCAGGGCATTTTAACATACTGCTTCCAGAGTATAGCTGGGAATGTCTGACGGAAGGGATACATCATCACTGTTATACTCATATTTGTCCATATGGTGTAGGCGAATTAATCTGCAACAGGAGTATATACCATGCAGGGTGTGTGTGTTTGTGTATATATACATATATACATACGTACATGCAAATAAATAGACATATATAATATATACACACATTGTATGTACAGTACTATGTGTCCAACAATTAATTATGTGTGTGTATATATATATATATAAAAATCAGTATCAGGATTGTGCTGTTCTCAAACTAATTGTGATTACCCATACTAACGTGATACTTCATAACTAGATAAAATATTTGCATTATTGTTTGGAAGAATTTTTTTCCACTGATGTGAAATTGAGTCAGTGTTGGCCTGAGATACTGAAGTCTGCCGACGTCCCTCTTAACCTTGACCTGAACCGCTCCCAACCTGTTCCTCAGGGACCCCCAGACAGTCCATGGTTTTGTGAGCTGGGAGGGAGCAAAAACGTGGACCGTCATGGGATCTCTGAGGACTGGGTTGGGAAGCACTGGTTTGAAGGGGGGGGGGGGTTCAGATGGACAGTAGAGATATGGACGGCGTACAGAGATTAGATGAAGGTTGAGCGTTCTCACGGCTGTCCTTGGTGGGGTGGGGGGACGAGCCCCGGGAGTCGGGGGGGTGCTTGTCCGCGGACAGCTTCTGCGGGAGAGAGAGTCAGCAATAAGAACAAGCAGAAGCGAGATTTACGGCTCCGGGGGAGGTGAACATGGTCATGTTCAGCGCAGAGAAGACGAGCACAGACACACAGGATGTGCACAGCACACGCAGACTGGAAATCCCCCTTCATCTGAGACCAACAACCCTTCCTCACCAGAACCTATCCCAAGTATGAACTTGGGAATAAAACTAAATGCATGCATCTGATTTACATTTTAAAATTACTATCTGAAGTCAAAGATCAAAATGTGTGTTAACACTTAGATAGGAGGTCCCTATTTATAAGACAAGCGGTGGCTGGCAGAGGTAGGTACTTCATGTCCAAAGAGCAGAGGTCCAGACCAATATTTGGTTTCAATCAGCCAGTTGAGAACTGTGACAGACTTTTTATACTCAGCTGGTTGGCTGAAACAAAATCTTGGTCTGGACTTGTACTCTCTGGACCTGAATTACCCACCTCTGGCTACGTAGCGATGAAGCAGCCCTCGGTCACAAAGTCACCTGATCCAACTCCATCTTGCGAAGGATCATGGGAGAGATGGATCCATCCATCCCATAATTTATGTTTCCTTGACTGCTCACCTCCCTGATCACCTGAGCAGACGTGGAGCACAGAGGAGAAACAGATTTAGCTGAACACGCTGTGTGTTCAGGTCAACGGAGCCCGGAGAGGCGGAAGCGGCGGTGAGGCAGTAGCGGCGGAGCTGTCACCGTGAGCCAGCCCTCAGCCTGCTCCTTGCTCTGCACGGCCAGCACCAGCGCCTCGCCGCCTGGCAGCGAGAACCGCAGCTCGTGCTTCTTACGCCGGCCGTCTTTGGGCACGTAGATGACGTTGCACAGGGTCAGCGGCAGGTCGATGCAGGGGGTGACATCCTTGGAGCTCTTGTAACCCTGCGATCGATGGCGACATGTTCTCATTTAATTCATCAAGCTTTCGGCCCAAATTGATTTACAAGCGAGGATCAGAGATCAGGGTCAGTAAGAGGTTAAGGGTCAAGCACAAGGGCCCGGATGTGACATCACTCAACTAGTCATGGAATTTTCAGTTGTTGATATAAGGCTCTATGTTTTTGTCTGTTTCGTCTGTTTTTGTCTGTTTGTTTCTGTCTATTTTTGTCTATTTGTGTATTTTACAGTCATTTTTATTCTATTCTTATTTATTCTCATCTTGCTAAACTGTTTCAATTTTTCTCTTTCCAATGCATATCGCATCATGAACCAGAAAGCGGCCGTTATAGCATCTCACTGCACAGTGGTACAGGGTGTGATTATGTATGTGATAAATAAAACTTGAAACCCGAACCCATGACCTTCTGATCACAGACATAAAGCCATAACCCAGAGAGCCAGACATCACCCACACATAGGAACATATCTATTTGTATACTGTGGCATGTCGTTTTTCTTTAATACAGACTGTCCCAGACTTACAGTCCACGTTTTTTTTTTTTTTTTTTTTTTTTTTTAAATGTAAATGTATGTAAAAATAACATTTCTGCAGTGCCATGTTATCTAGTGCATGCCGTGTAATAGTTTGTTGTACTGTATGGCAAAGCAACCATTCCAGTCTCACACACATTTCCCAGTGTTTCTTGCACCTAAAAGTTAGTGGGATTATCCTATTCCGACATACGTCCAATTCAACATACAACTTGGCTGTCGACAAGAAACCCAGACGTAAGTTGGGAACAGTCTGTATATTGTACCCGAGTCTTGTCCTCGGCATGGCTACCTTAAATCTGACAAGTTATCCGGCTATGCGAGCAATCCTGCTTTCTGAAACAGTTCTAGCCAGGTTCATCGTTATCCATTGTTAGTAACATCAGTTGATATCGCATTATGTGGTATTTCGGTCATGCAAACACTTTAGCAACATGTCCACAGGTAGCAGTTGGACAATATTCTGTGTACGACTGACTTAAAGAAATACAAATAAGACATAAGTGCTAATAAACAGTATATAACTACAGCGTTCACTTCTGTTGATGAAGGGCGCAGCCATCTTGAATTCTGAGGTCAGGGTTGCAGAGGTTCCTCCGACTTTCCGATTTGCAATTCCGACTTATGGGGGGCATTCCATTTGAAACTTCTGACAAAGAACTCAGAAATTCTGACTGGGAACGCAGCATTGATTAAGAAAAGGTCTGATTGAATAAGGTAAGCCTGGGACAATGGCAAAATGATGATCACTGGACAATGTACCAATCAGAGGTTAGTGAGGCAGGTTAGCCATCACATGTGTCAGGTCACATGGTCCTAACAGGTCACATGGTCCTAACAGGTCACATGGTCCTAACAGGTCACATGGTCCTAACAGGTCACATGGCACTGGCAGGTCACATGGTCCTAACAGGTCACATGGGGCCACTGTGCAGGCCTCACCAGGAGCCTGTCCTCCCGGATGAGGGTCAGCTGCTTGGTCCACTGGCCGAAGCGCCTCTTCCTCAGCAGGACGGCACAGACGCGATATGGCTTCACCGGGCCCGCTGCCTTTTCTCCCGAGGTCCACCGGTGACTCAGCTGCCGGACTTTGGCCTCGTCCTCGTCTTCGTCGTACGACTCATAAGAGCTGCTCAGGGCGTCCGAGTCGTCGTCTGCACAGACGGGAGCACATACTCCTGAACTTCAGTGCGCCAAGTAAAATGTAGAATTAGAATTAGAATTAAGTGATCAGTGGTCATTGTCAACA